CCCCGCAGCTGGCCTAGAATGGGCGAGGGCTGCATGCACCTCCCCAGGGGACCCTGGCACCTGAAGATGCTGGAGGTCGTCTCCACCCTGCCGTGGCCCAAGAGGGCTGGCCCGGCCCGGCGCCCGGAGAGCCCCGGGACGGCAGCTCACATCTGATCTTACTGCAAGTGTCTTAGAAATGGCCACATGTGTGATTTCTTTTGGCACGTGGGGTTGTTTGCTGCATACCACGGTTGTGTTTCCAGGCTTTTTGGAAGTCTGTGGCAGCCTGACACCCAGTGTCGCACTCACTGCCCTGCCTTCCCCGGGCACATGCGTCAGACCTGCCAGCTGCACCCCACCACGGAGACTCCCAGGCGCTGCGTCTGGCTCTGCTGCCCGTGCCTCGGGCTGGCCCTCCCCGCCTGCCGGATGTCCATCTGCTGCTCATCTGCAGCCCCCGGGAGCCCGCGCCTGTGGACTCAGTGTTTGTCCCGCGTGACTTGGAGACACCACAGCCACCTCTGCCGGCCTGCTGCTGCCAACGCGGTTTCAGCGAACGCCAGCGCTGCCTGTGCGTTCCGCGTTCCCCAGCTGTTCCTTTAGCCCACCTCTGAAATTCCTCGAGACGGCGATCCTGCCTCCCGGTCCCCCTCCACTGCATGCTGTCGTCATACGCTGGTCTCGTGAGGCTGGGAACAGCAAGGACCAACGCCTAAAAGGACGAGGGGACTGGGTGGCCCTCTCGAGAGCTGAGGGGGTGATGACCAAAACACAGGCGAGGAGGTGGCTCCCACCAGCTGTGACAGCTGCAGAGTTTGTACCAGGGAACTGACAGGCCCAGGGCGGAAGTAAGGTCTAGGATTCATTTTTTTTTTCCTTTTTCTTTTTTTTTCCTTTCCTTTTCTTTTTTTCAGATAGGCTGATCTTGAACTCACTATGCAGCTGAGGCTGGCCTCAAAGTCTTGGCGATGCTCCTGCCTCAGCCTCCCAAGTTCTGGGATGAGAGGTGAATACCATGGTGCCCAGCTAGAGACCCATTTTGAACTTGCATTTTCATAGTAAACACACCATAATTTTAGCTATGTTGTGCGTGCATTTAGAAATTGGAGGGGCCCAAACCCCTCAACCCACCTGCGAGTTTTGGATGCGGTTTGCTCCCAAGGGTCCACAGGTTGGAGCAGCACAGAGGAGGTGGCCCTTTAGGAGGTGGAGCCTGTGCAGAGGTCACTGAGGGCCCTGCCCTGCGGTGGGATGAAGAGTTCACGCCCTTGAGTAGCTCTCATGAAAGCAGCAAGCCCAGCCCCGTCCCTGCTCGGGTTTCCTGTCCTCGATGTGACCTTTCCTATCCATCTTGCTCCACCTTAGACTCTCCTGAGAGCCAGAACCAAAGGGACCACTCAGTCTTGGACTTTTAGCCTCCATGGCTGTGAGAGCAGTAAGCTTCTTTTCCTTATAAACTTACCCAGATTCCAGTGTTTTGTTATCGTAACATACAACAGACTCGTATGCTTCAGCACCACCACCGAAAGCAGCGCCCCCGGGGATCATACTGAGCCCAGGATCCTACCAGCTTCGGAATCCAGAGAAACAGATGACTCCACATCATCCTGATCTTTAAGGATCACAGAGAAACCCCCTGTCCATACTTTCTGCCAGCTGTGCTAATGTTTACTTTGTAAGCCCCAAAGAGAAGATAAAGTAAAATTGCTATGGTAGATCCTCAAACTCCACCAGCTTTGGGGAGCATCTGGTGAGCAAAGAGAAGTGGATGGAAGGACAGACAGTGACCAGGAGGCTCGGAGAGACAGACAGGCATGAGCAAAGGTGAGATCAAGAGGGAGCGCCACGCCCAAGGCCAGTCAGGAGCCAGAGGTGGCAGGAGGCACCACACGGCGTCTCGCCCCGGGAGGGTTGGCACAGCAGGGCTGTTCTGCTTCACAAAGGCAGTGATAGAACAGGACTGGCAGGAATGGTTCCTGACCCATGTGTGCAAGGCTGCGACGAGTCAAAGTGATCATAATTACGCGCAGGAAATTGCTCCTTTCTTATTCATTCCCCGAAGAACACTGCGCTATGCGCCCTGGCACGCTGCTGGGCAAAGCAGATACAGGGGCAGGCACTCCGTCTCCACAGGGAAAGAAGCGAGCCGAGTGCGTTTAGAGGGTGCCTCGGGACGCAGCCCTGATACCATGGACTTTGAAGCCCTCCTGCTGGGTTCCAGCCCCAGCTCTGCCGCTCAGCACCTGGACAGCCCTGCGCAAGCGTCCTCTGGGCCTCGGTTTCCCTATAGAAGTAACAGAGCAAGTAGGAGTACCTGGCAGGATTGTCGTGAGGACTGAGTGAGCTAATAGTTACAGAGCTTTAGAACAGTGCCTAGCATACAAGAGCAGAGGCGTGTTTGTTTAAAAAAAAATGTATACATATATATATGGCCATAAAGGGCCTGTTTAGGTGGTTAGGGAAGTCCTCCCTAAAATGTGACATTTAAAACAGACACAAGGAGCATAAGAAAGGAGCACCCCTAACCTCTCCACAATGTGATGTTTTTTTAGAGTTTCAAAAGTAAATGAGAATTTTAAAAATGAGCAGCGGGTGTTTGCGAGTCTCAGGGATGGTAGCCCTTTGGTGAATCCTGCTGCCCAGCTCCGCTGGTTTGGTGCCAAAGATGACCTGATTCCGACTGAGAACTTCGACGGGAACAAGTCCCTGGCTCCACCCCCTCCCCAGCCGCGCCTGAGCTCCGAGGAGGACAGCTGCAGCTGCCTGACAGGAAGCCACGAGCCAGAGCAGAAACGGGGACGAGGAGGCCGTGCTCCTCCAGCGCCCGCGCACGCTGGCCCTCCCTCCAGGATTCCTGCAGGGCTCAGCCCCAGCAAGGCTGAGCGGGTACAGCTGGTCCCCGACCTCTCCCTGCACCCCACCCTGGGGTGCCCTGTGATCCCCTCCACAGACAACTAGCACTCCGGGAGGAGAGGGCAAGCAGTCACGCACTGGGGCTGCTGTGGAGGGCGGTACTTAGGGAACTCCGCAGCCCTTCCAGTACAACTGCTTGCGGCCTGCTAGTCCTCTGGGGCAGCCCTGGCTACTTGGCCCGGGGATATACTTGGAGGCCTTGCACCACGTCACCTCTGACCCCGGGAGCTGCTAAGCCATGGACTCTAAGGGCAGGAAGCCACTCCCCAAACACTTCTAGTTCAAATCCTTTCAGCAAGGGGGACCCTGGGGCTCCTGTCCACACCCTGCCGACTGCGCTGCCTCGGGTTCTGGCTGAGGTACTTTTAGGGGAGGCCCCTAAGCGCAGGGTTCCGGGCTCAGAGCTCCAGAAGACCTGGATGGCTGAAGCTCCCCAAAGGCCGGGAAAGCCTGAGCTGCCCTGTGGCCAGCCACCCACAAGTTACACCCCAGCCAGAAAGCTGGGGCCCTGAGCTCTCTGCAGGGTCCAAGAGCAAAGCAGGATTGTCAGGGCAAGGCCCTTAGCAGCCCACTGCGTGGTGGCCAGACCTCCACACACACAAGCAACCAGACCTCCACACCTCCCCACACACTGAGCTCATCCTGCTTCCTGCTTCCGGAGGCCAGTGGGCTCCTTCCTTAGAGGCCCACCTTCTACTCCCCGCAGCTCTCCTGACCCCATCGAGGCCACCTGCTCCAGGAAGGCGCCCGGGCACGGGAGACAAGATAAGCACGTGAGCCAGACGCGGCTTCTCTGAGTAAGTGCATTCCGCCACCATCAGGGAGGGGACAGCAGCCACCTGTCCCCTGGGATGCAAGCTGTCTCCTCCTGGGCCGCAGAAGGGCGGCAGGGATCTGGAGGAGGATGTTTGAGTTGGCTGGGCAGCTGGACGGGCCTGGGGGACACTTAGCTCCGATCATGGCCCAAAGCCGCGTGGGAGGCAGGTGCAAGGACACCGCTGAGAACCGCTGGCAGATCCGGGAGAAGAGGGAAGACGTGCCAACAACGGTCAGGTCCGCGTTCGCTCCAGCCACCAGCACCGTGCCCTCTGATGCTCGGGGCGCGTGCGCCCGTGGTAAGCTGGGGTCACCCCAGCAAGGGAGACAGCCGGGCCGGCCGTGTGCAGGGCCAGGGAGGGCCGGACGGCTGGGGCTATGGACGAACACTCCCACACAGCAGCGGCTCTGGGCCTCGGTGCTTGTGGGTGAGCGGTGAGACACCGGAGCCCAGGCTGCCACGGCCCTCTGGACCCACCCTTTTACAGGACTTGTCTGCCCAGCTGGGTCGATGGCTCTGCGAGGGCCAGGGCTGCCAGCCTCGTTCAGGGCTCCTACCAGGCTCACAATAAGTGCTGGAAAGGGAAGGGTGCTGGGAAGGCAGAAAGGGAGAAACACATTTGCTTGGACCTACTCCTATAAGAAAACTGGGGTTTCAGGAAGTAGACAGGGACAAGGAAGGACATGGCCGATACATGTCCAGTTACTTCTCCCAGGCGCCCTATCATTACGCAGTTACATGACCGTAGGCAAATTTTTCTGTGCCTCAGTTTCTTTGGCTGTGAAATGGGGTCAAACACCTGTAGCACCTAGCCATCATCAGCACAGAAACCCTAGATGGGAAGTGTGAAGGCGAGGACAGAAATGCTGATTAACCTCAGTGTACTACTACCACAGTCCTGAGTAACAGAGATGCCAGGAGACAAGTCCCTGCCGCACGGGAAGCTGAGGGGCCAGAGGCCGAGCGTCCTTGGGGACACAGAGCCTCGAGGCCGCAGGGAGCAGACCCACCCCTCCCCCCGTAAGCCAGAGGGGAAGGGAGATGCGGCGCTGGGCCCAGGGCTCCAGGCGTCTGCCGCTGCTGTGGCCTGGCGGGAGAGGGAAGGACGGGCTCCAGGAAGAGAACCCCAAGCCTCTCTCCCGCCCCCAGGTCCTGCTGCTCACTGCAGCCCGCCTGTGGCTCTCCTGTAAGCTGAGGGTGGGCTGTGTGTGTCCACAGGTGTGACCCTCTGTCCTGGTCTTCCCCCCAGGACACCTGCTGAGGCACACACAGCCCTTCCCGGCCTTACCCTCGAGGCGGAGGACAGCTGTGGGTCGCTGACTGGTGGAGGTTTGGCCGAAACACCAACACGGGGCAGTTAAAAGGGAAGAAAGCGCCTCAGACTCCTGACTCACCAAGGCCTGGTCACCACTGCTCAGCTCAGCAAGCTCCCCGCCCGTGCCTTGTGAGCCTCCGTCCCCACCCAGAGGAGAGAGAACTGGCTGGGCGACCCCAGCTGTCGTGGCTTGCATCCAAACAGACCCAGTCCCTCACAGTCTCACGTGTTTGGAAGGCGACGGCTCCTCGGCCACTAGACCTGCCAGTGATTAGACTGCCGGTGAGCTCCAGCAGACTTGCTGTTGGCAGGTGAGGCCTGGCAGGGGGCTGTGGGCCACTGGGGGTGCGAGCTGAAAGGGTCCACGCCTGTCCCTGGCTTCTCCCTGCCCCTTCTTCCTTTTTCCCTCCCACTTGGTTGCCATGACAATGGCAGCAGCTTTCCTCTGGCAGGCCTTTCCACCACGCGCTTTCTGCCTCGGACCCCGCTGACCACGGACTGAACCCTCTGACACCGCAAGTCAAACCTCGCCTGCTGTGAGGGGCAGGTGTGGGGTATTTCACCACAGACAGGAAGGTGACTAACACACCCGCCACGGGCTCCGCCTCGGAGTCTCCCCCAGGCTTCAGCCAGGCGATGCCGCCCCTTCATGGGGCTTCAGGCACAGCACTCCCTGTGAGTCACCTCTGAGAGAGGCAGGAGCTGCAGTTCCATCTCTAGCAGCGGGATGGGAATCATTATACGCGTCTCACAGATGCAGAAATGAACTGACTCGGTCAGGCTCCCTAAAAACCTGAGGCATAACCCCAGCTGTGCCGCCTCACCGCCAGGCCTCTGCCTCCTGGGAGCGGCGCACACGTGCGCCCATGACCTCAGAGAGTCTGGCGGCCCGGGCTCAGGGTGAGGCAGGTGTGTCTCGCCTGAGCCACCCGCTGCTGCACCCGCCAAGTGAAGGCAGCGACCACTCCAGCTGCTCCCGCTGCTGCAGGGGTGGCGCTCCCTCCTCCAGCCACCCCAGGGCCCCGCCGCCTCACAGCCCACGCAGGCTCATCCTGGGTGCTGTGAGGGCTCTCTCAGCCCAGACGATGGACCTGCTGCCACCAGGCTCCAGGGCAAGGAGAAGAGAGGGCGTGGTCCCTGCCTGGAGCTTCTGGGTCCCAGGGAATGTGCTGCAGGGGCAGGGAAGGGAGGTCCTCACCCAGCACAGCTTGCTGGGTGATACATCCCGACCTCTTCCTAGATGCTGCAGGCCTGAGGAGGGAGGCGCCTCCGCAGCCTCTACCTCAGCACCTCTCCATGCCTTTCTAGCGCCTCCGAGGCCTCCTCTGTCACCTTCAGGGCCCCAGGGGGAAGAGCAAACCCCCGGGAACAGGGACTGGAGTTAGGGGAAAGGAGACGCAAGCTGCATCCCAACTGCAACGGTCTCCACCGTGGAGAGCTGGTGGTTTCCATTTCTCCGGAGGCCTGGGGGCCAGGGGCCAGGGCACACATCTGGGCGCAGTCAGCTGTCCTGGAACCTTGCCTCGGTCGCAAAGACCATGCCTGGCAGGGGCTGCCCGCCAGCCCGCTCCCCAGCTCCTCCCCCGCCACGCCCCCACGTGGGGGGGAACACACTTGTCTTTGTTAACTTATGGGAACAATAAAGCTCCTCAGGGACCACCACTCCCAGCCACACAGCCCGGCCCACACCCAGCTGTTTATCTCAGACCTTGGAAAGAAAAGCAGCGCTCCCCGCCCCCTCCCGCCGGGCCCACACACACATGCCCTGCATCTGCACCTCCACGACGAAAACAAACGCAGGCAGGGCACCTGTGAGGGGAGCTCTCTATTGAGCAGAGTCCAGTGCCTGCCCGGCGCGCCCACCCACGCCCAGCGCCGCGCCAGCCCCCCGCTCCTTGGCCGTGCGCCCCGGCGCAGTTCCACTCGGGTCCTCCTCCGCCACCAGGCACCACGGGGACAGCCGCCTCCACACTGCCCGCGCCAGGGCCTCGAGTCCATCCGCGGAGAGCCCTGCCCAGCGCGGCCGGCTGCGGGCCCCTTGGCCCGGCCTGCCCTTGCTCTCGGTGGGAAGCGCCTGCTGCAGCCCAGCCCCTCCTCAGGGCTCCAGTTCCCGGGAGAGGCGGGACAGCTCCCGCTGGTTGTCGATGACCTTCAGCTGCTGGACGTAAGCCCAGGTGCTGGCCGAACTCCGGGTGCTCAGGGACTGCTCCGAGCCTGGGGGAGGGCGAGCCGTCAGGGAGGCACCAGGCCACGGCAGAGCCCCGCCCTTCCCACTCCGGGGAGCAACAGGCCTATCTGCCTCCCCGCCCACCCGCACTGTCCCCAGGCCCTGGGACTGCACACCCCGATGGAGTCAGGGCAGAGCAGCACAAGTCTGAAAAAAGCAGATCCCTGAGATTTCGTACCGTGTAATACCCCTCTTCCTAAGTTAACACATAACTAAAATTTTACAATATTTTGTTATAGCACATATATTACAGATGAAGGATTTCAAAGGGGTATATGTGTACGTCTGAGACAAGACTTTTAAAAAACAAAAAGTAAATAGCTCAGGATATTGTGTTTTGTTGTTTGTTACTTGTTTTTTGTTTTGAGACAGGGTCTCACTATGTAGTCCAGACTGCCCTTAAGTCACTGTGTAGTTGAGGGTGGCCTTGAACTCATGGCAATCCTCCTGCCTCAGCCTCCTGAGTGCTGGGATTAGAGGCATGCACCACCAGGCCCAGCTAGCTCAGGGTACTCTGAGTGACATACAGTGAGATATAGGTGAAAATCAAGGACATGGTAATGGTGGATGGGGAGAAGCAGGCAGACAGTGGAGGTGTGGGTCACCACCAACGTTCTCATACCTGCCCTGGGCCAGGGGTGTATGTTACAGGAGTAAGTGCCGCGTTAGAATACACAGGGCCTGTGATGGAGCACATGAGCCGTGGATTTGGACTAATTCCACTTCATACAACAAAGGTCCCACCAAGAAACGCAGGTAGAGTGCAAGGTGTGGGTCTGGCTCTCACTAACCGTGAGGCCATCAGCAAGCTGCTTCAGCACTACGGGCCTCTCCCTCTGCTCTCCACTCTGAGGACTGACCCAGGGCCTTCACGCTGGGCTACGGCCCCTCCCCTTTTTTGTTCTGAGACAGGCTTTTGCTAAGTTGCCTAGGCTGGGCTCCAACTCTGGATCGGCCTGCCTCGGCCCCCAGCCTTCCCTCCTAAGAGGAGGTAGCAGCCTCTCTTGCCTCACAGAGGAATTGTGCACAGGTGGCAGTGTGATTTGTGGCAGGCCTGGCTGTCACTGCCACTCGGCAAGTGCCCGGGAAATGCCAGCCACGGCTCACGGCGGGCAGCATCCCCGCTTCCCCCGCACTTACACGTGGAAACCCTCGAGGCCTGGCTGTCCTCATGGAGATGGGAAACGCGGCTCCGGAGCGGCGAGAGGGGCACTGGGTGGGGGAGAGGCAGGGGTCAGGGGCCACAGCCCGTCAGCACCCCCTGGGGACACGGGGCTCCCCCAGGGGCCAGGCCTCTCACCGGCGCCGTGGCTTCGGCAGCGGTGCAGCAGCCGTGCGGCCCTGGCCATCATTCGCTGTGGGCAACATGAGGGCATGAGGTCAGGCCCGCGGGCCGGCCGAGCCCGCCGGACATCCGTGCTCCTTTGAACTGGGTGCCCCTAGGGCCTGGAGGAGCTAGGGTCCCCCCTCCCGCACCCCAGCACGTGGAGAGCCCGCAGGACCAGGAAGTGCAGGAAGACAGAGGTCAGGAGGACTGACAAGGCCAGCACTGAACGGGGGACTCCGCCCCCGCCACCTCTGCGGCCCCAGCAGAAAGCAGACGCGCCAGTGCGCAAGAGGAAGGCGGGGCTGTCTGGCCAGTCGCCTGCGGCCCTCCCAGCAAGTTCCAGCCGCCTCCCACCCCTGTCAGGCCATCGCGCCACCCCCAGCTCAGCGCCAGGGCGGGCACCCACCATCTTCTCAAAGTTGATGAGATTCTCCACCAGCGTGCGGTTGCCCTCGTGAATGAAGGTCATGTCTGCAAAGGATAATGTGCCCGTGGGTCCCCAGACGCCTGCTCCCTCCGGCAGCCCAGGGACGGCGAAGGCGAACAGGAGGCGCTCCGAGCGGCCCCCACCCCCCCCCCCCCCCGCCCCTCCGCGCCTCCTGGAGTCCGGGCCTAGACCAGGCTCGCCAGCACAGACCTCTGTCCCTTCGCCCGCACCCTGCCAGCCCGGGAAGCCCTCGTGCACCGCGCCCTCCCGGCCTCAGCAGCTGGGGTGTGAGCGCCTGAGCAGCCTGCATCCGCTTGGAAGCAGGGAGGTGGGCGCGGCCCGCTTACCTTTGAGAAGGAGGGGCATGAAGGGGATGAGCGGCGGGGACAGCTTGCTGAGGGCCAGTCGGTACACTCGGTGGTTCCACGAGGGGTCCTGAGGGGCAGCCACGCGGGAGGTGGGTGCGCACTGTCACCCACCGCGGCCCAGCGCCCGCCCATCTGCGCCCGCCGCCTGAGGCCCCGCCCCCGCTCCCCGGCCACCGCGTCTGCAGCACGTGGCTTCCGAGCCGCCCAGGAAACCTCGTGGTGGGGTCGTCAGGAGGCCCTGGGGTTTGTGGGGTCCCCTCCCTCCTCCTCCCTGTGCCCCTCTCTGTCTTTCCTGTGGGTAAATCCCTCTGAAGTTCTTCAGTCCCGAGAGGTGAATTGTTTTCCTTTTTCTTTCTTTTTTTTCTTGGTGTTTTTGAGACAGGGTCTCACTATGCAGTTCAGGCTGACCTTGAACTCATTTTATACCTCATGCTGGCAAGGAACTAAACTTGCAGTGATCCTCCTGCCTCAGCCTCCTGAGTGCTGGGATAATGGGCGGGCGCCACCACGCCAGGCTGGTGAATTGTTTTCTTAAGAGCTCCGGGCTATGCTGGTAGCAAGTCCGTCCTTTTCTCTCCTGACTACTTCGGAACAGGCAGAGGGTTCAGCCCTACCCCTTGGCCTGGCCCCCACCACACTCGGGGCTCCTGGAGGCCGCGAACAGCCCTGGCCTCGGCACCGTGAGTGCTCAGTGCCGGGCCTACCTCCCGAGCCCCGGACACAACGGCTGCAGCCCAGCATCCCGATGCCCCGGCACCTCACACCCAGGCGGCCCCTGCGCTCTGTCCCGGCTATCACGGCGGATGTCCCACCGTGCACACCGCGTGACATCACCCACCACCCCACCCCCTGGCCAGCTCCCCCGAGGCCGGCCAGAGGGAACCAGGGCCTGGCTGTGCCGCGAACCCTGAAGAGTGGCCGTAGGCAGGCAGGGGGGTGCGCGGGCAGAGCAGCGGCTTCTGGACGGAGAAGCCCTGAAAAGCACTCACCAGCAACCGCTCCAGGGCCGAGTAAAGCTTCCGGACTTTGTGGGGCAGCCGCTGCGAAGGACAGGCCGAGAGCTGCCGCTGCTGGGTGGGGCTCCGCGTGGGGGGCCCCACGACCAGCCCAGACTCCCGGGACAGGGAGGAGACCCGGCCTCGGCACCGGGCCTCCGCTGGCACCTACCTCCCAGGTGTGTGCCAGGCGGCTGATGGCCGAGTTGCTAAGGCCAAACATGATGGCAAAGAAGGAGTTGAGATTCTTTTGCTCCTTGAGGCTGTGAGCAGAGGACGCAGATGCTCAGGGGAAATGGCCGTACCCACCGCACCGGGCCCACGGCCAGGCCTGGGGCTCAGACAGGGCCGGGCCGCGGCGCCTCTGCACCACGGGGGGAGGCAGAGGGCAAAGGCTCCGGGGAGCCAGGAACAGAAGGAGCAGGGAGGCCCCCCGCTCCAGCCACGCGCCCCCCACGGCTTACTGGGCGGCCAGCTTGATGAACTTCCTGAGCAGCTGGGCCCGCAGGCCGGGCGCGGGGCAGAGGCAGAGCTCGGTGGCCACCCAGAACTGCAGCTCGTTGAAGCGGCGCATGAAGCGCTCCAGGTTGGCCGTGGTGCCGTCCCGCAGGCGCTGGGGGCCCAGCACGTAGTGGATCAGCTCCACCTGGGGGGGCAGGGGTCAGCGGGCGCGGGGCGGCGGGCACCACTCCCCGCCCCCTCAGCTCGGCCTCACGCACCTGGTGGATGCTGTTGAACAGGCTCCAGTCGAGGTCTGTCAGCTGCCCGGCCAGGTCCCTGGCACTCACCGCATCCAGCCCCTCCGCAGAGCCCACGGCCGGCCCCAGCTGCTCAGGGTGTGGGGTCTGCAGGGAAGAAGGCCCAGGCAGGCGCCTGAGGAGTGGGGGACAGGATGGGGAGGGAGAGAGGGCCTGCGGCGAATACCCTGCACCTCGGGAGGAGGGTGGCGGGGGCAGGGCACCGCAGGGGCTGCAGGACAGGGTTTCCTACGGAGCCCCCTGCTGACCACGCCCCATACCGGGACACCCCCAGGGTAGGGGCTCCTGCTTCCTGGGGTCCTCTAGCAGAGCAGGCCCTTTCTCCTCGGGAGCTTGCAGCCTGTGCCATCTTTGAATCTGCCCAACAGCTGAGAGCCACACGGTCCTCTTCCTCCCGCAGACCCTCCCCAGAACCCGTCTCTGCCACCCTAGCAGGCAGCTCTTCCCCGGCCCTGGCACCCTGCCCGGCCCCTACCAGCTTGTGCACTTCCTGCGGGGTGACAACAAAGAGCCGCTCGTTGAGCCCCAGGGATGTGGCCACACCGCGGGCGTCTGGCTGCAGGCCCACGGCATCTGCAAAGAAAGCGGAGGCCGCTGGGCGCCGGTGGGGTGGGAGGCGGCCGGGCCGGCGGAGGCCTGCTGGGGAGGTTCTGTTCCAGCGGCGGCCGCGGCCACGCGCAGGTGCTGTCGGAAAGCGGGGTGCGGGCCCCGTGCCCTCACGCCCCTCCTCGGACAGCGGGGTGGAGGGTGAAAAGGGGGCCCCGGGGCGAAGCTTCCGCCTCCGTGAGCCTCAGCTTCCTCCTCTGGAAGATGGAGACCTTCAGCCCGACTCCCTCACACGTCAGGACGCTGCCTGAGGCAAACACAGCACGGGTCTGCGGTGCACAAAGCCCTGTGCAGACTGCGGAACGTGCGAACCTCGGTGTGGATTTTCACCGGCCCGGTGTGGCGGAACCGTGCTTTCAGCCCCCTTTGAGTCCTCCGTGCCCCACCAGCAACCACCAAGGTGAGACACGCGTCACCCCCGGGCCCGGAGAACACTAGCTTTCATGTTTATTGTTTCCACCTGCTTTGCACTTCTATTTTATGTACAGCTCTACAATTACGTATTACTGAGGTGATATACAATTTATAAACACGTTTACACTTAGCAGAGGATTTATAATAAAATACCGGCCACTGGCAAAGGCATCGGTAGTCTGGACATCAGTGGTCGAACAGGTGCCGGGCACAGCAGGTGCCAGTCCTTACGGGGGCAACTGCAACTCACCGGACGGCCAGTAGAGGGCAGCGCTCGCCAGAGCAGATAGCACGGGTGCCCTTTGCCCCCTTCCCGGAGCAAGGCCCCCCCCCCCGTGCGTCATCCCTGACTGCTCCCTGTTCCACCCACCCTGGGCCTGGGCTGCGCCCTTCACAGACAACAGTGGCTTTTCGTGCCCCAAGTGCTCCAAAAGCAGGTTGTGATAGTCCCTATGCAGTCACAACCCAGGCCCTGCCTGCTGGGCCCCCGCCGCATGTGCCACGCACCTATCTCCACTTGAGCAACCACCACAGCCCTGGGTACAGATGGGCACGGTGACAGTGCTCCTTCCAAGGAAGGAAGGGAGGCCAGGGAGGCTGTGCAGCTTTCTCAGGATCCCACAGCTAGCGGACAGGCAACCTGGGATTCCATTCCGCAGAGCGGGCTGGCCTTGAACCCACTACGGACCGCAGGCTGGCCACGAATTCACAGCGATCCTCCTGCCTCAGCCTCTCCAGTGCTGGGATTACAGGCGTGTGCCACCACACCCAGCCATCATTCTGCTCTGAACCATCTGGCTGATCGGCCTTCTTTGCCACGGTACCTCTAGCTCCTAACACACTACTGCTTCGTGGCTGACCTCAAACTGTTTGCTGAATGACTACATGAGTGAAGACTGCCTAAGACCAGCGACATCCTCACTTACTATGTGAGCTTGGGGAAGCCACTTAATCCCCAAGCCTCGTTTCCCAGTCTGAAATTGGGGCAAAAATACCCATCTCATAGGATTGTTATTAAGATTAAAGGCACGTTTAGCTGAAAGTTACACACTGCTAGCTATGTGCCAGCAAAGACTCAGGGGGAGGCTAAGACTCAGCATCCCTACTTTGCAGAGACGAAACCCAGCACAGAGCATCGAATGCGCTGCCCAGGACACAGCGCTGAGGAGCCACAGGGCTGGCGTCACGCAGCAGGCAGCAGGCTCCCGGGCTCGCGCTCACAAGCCCCGCACATCAGGCAGGGTGAGCACAGGCAGAAGGCCTTCCAGAGCTGCCTCCCGCTGCTGCCAGCCAAGCAGAGGGTAACGATCTTACTCCGGGGGGCGGGCACAGATCTGAGGGCCCCTCCCTCCGGGCCTCCTGGGACACAACTCACCGCCGGTGGAGTTGACCTTCACCAGCACCTGCCCCTTGGTCCAGCCGTCCTCCTGGGCCAGCGCCGCCATCACCTCTCTCACGGAGGCCGTCACGGGCAGCTGCAGGGTCAGCACCGAGTGGTCGGGCCGGCAGATGTCGTAGGGCACTGGGGAGGGGGCAGGGCTGAGTGGCAGGAGGAGCCGCCAGGCCCCCAGCTCGGGAGAGAGGGCGCGACTGCGCAGGGCAAGGATCCCACAGGAGCGGGAGGAGCGGGCAAGGGTGACGCTCGGAGGCCGCACGAGGCGGGAAGCCCGCAGCCGGGACGCGAGCGCAGCAGGCGGACCGGCACCTAGAACGGAGACCCCAGCGAGCGCAGCGCACTGCCCGTGACCCACACACCCCTGGGCCGAGGGGGCCACAGCAGGACGAGAGAGGCAGAGACAGCCGGGGCGGAAGCCAGGCTGGGGCCACCCACCTTTGTCCCCCACCCGGATGGCACAGCTGCTGCTTGGCAGAGGCTCGTCCTGGCTGGGGAGCCAAACAGGCACGTTCCGGGCCTGGGAGGAAGAGGAAGTAAGGCTGAGAGGACACGGGGACGGCACGCAGGCAGGGGACAGCGAGCGTCCCTGTCACCAGGAGTAGGAACCCGACAGCACTGCACCACCAGAGGGCTCTGCTGGCCATGGTAACCTGAGTCCAGGTGAGGCCCTGGGACGGCGCTGCAGAGGAGGTAGCAAGGCTGCGGGGGGTGAGGCGCGCCCTCCGCAGGTGTGCCTGTCCCTCTGTGCCCAAAGATCCAGAGCCTTCTCTTCCTCGCCCTCCCTCAGCTATGACCTGCTACAAACCAGGCACTGGCCCAAGCAAACCGTCACAACAGCCCTGTGACCCGAGTATTATTATTCCCGCTTTATGGATGAGATAAAGGCAGGCCAGACAGGTTAATATGCTAGAGGCCACACAGCAGCTGAGGGTGAGAGCTGGAGGCCTGCTCCACCCTCCCTGGGCTGCCCACACCGCCTGCTGCATGCCCAGCAGCAGGGAGGCAGGGGCTGAGAGCACTACAGATGCCCGCAGCCAGGGCTGCCCCGCACAGCTCCTCCTCCCGCCCCGCACAGCTCCTCCTCCTCCCGCCCGGCGGCTCTGTCCAACCTGGGGCTCACGCCTCCTCCCTCCGAACCCGCCTCCTCCCTCCGAACCGAATGCGGCAGATCCCCGGGGCCAGGCCTCAGGCCTCTGCGCTGCCCGCAAACGTCCCCAGGCACCCTCACAGGTCCTCACAGCCTGGCTTTGCCACCTGCCCGCACGCTTCCCCAGCCACGAGCCATCGTCACCTCCACGCACCATGCACGCCCACCCCTCCTCCCTCACCCCCAGCGCTACAATGGCCCAACTGTTCTCCTCCCGGGGCCCTCAGGTGACTCCAGCCTCCTCCTGCAGCCCGCCTGCGCAGGCCAGCGGAAGCTGCAGCTCAAGGCGACCATTGTCCGTGGATAAGCCCGCTCTTCTGCCGGGCTCTCCGGATGGCCCGTCAGGTCCACGGGCCCTGGCTCAAGCACCGGTCTCTCTCGGCAGGGGGACCATGCTCTTCCCTTGGCCAGGTCACCCTCTGTGCCCGGGCTCCTGCCCACCTCTCCAGCCCCCTGCGGTCCCCTCACTCTCCGTCCCCCAGGGTCACCTTGGGGTCCTCCTTGGGCTCACCCCTCTGACTGCAGCTTCGACTCCGAGAACACTTCCCCTAAACCCGATGGCCGAGCCAGCTCCCCCGCCCTGCTTTCAGGGACCCTGCTCTTGGCGTGCCCGCGGTGGCTCGCAGCCCCGCCCGCGCCTGCCCGTCAGCACACAGGCCAGGGGGGACCGTGCCGGCCACGCTCTCCACAGGCAGCCAGCACAGCCCGGTGTGCAAGGGAAGGCCGGTGTCAGCCCCGCCAGGCCGAGGCCTCTCCCAGGAGGCCGCGCCCCAGAGGGACGTGACAATTGGCTGAGCTGAAGAACGTCACGGAGGACACCTGGCTCATGGGGGCTGGGGACGGGGAGCCGGGAGCAGGCTCTCCAGGAACGAGGAGAAGGGCCCGGTCAGGCAAAGCGCCCAGGAGAGTTCCGCACAGGTCAGGGGGCAGGCCGCGGTGTGCCCAGCGTCCCTGCCCGAGAGGCGCAGCAGGAGTGTGGGCAGGTGCGGTGGCCAGGCAGGCGGCCCAGGTGAGGCGTTCAGATTTTCTTCCCAACACAACCTGCCTCTCCAGTCCCTTCTCCCCCAACTCCTCAGCCAGTCTGGGTTCTGGTCATGGCTGTCTTCTTGCCTCCCTCTGACCCCAGCCCCAGGCCGGGACGGCACTGGCCACCGGACTCCCCAGGGAGGTCCTGTACTTGCCCTGGATCCCGCAGCGCTGGCTCCTAGGAGCCCTCAGGCCTCGGTGAACCTCACGATCCCGCCTCGCACCCCACCGACGGCGTGAGCTGCCTCCCAGGCAGGAAGGCCCGTGGGGGAAGGAAGCTGCCACCTGGACCTCAGGTCCTCCCTCTGCCCCACACCACACACAGCAGGGGCCTGGCGGGGAGCTTCGGGCGGCACACAGCCTCTCAGGGAGGGAGGGCGGGGGAAGGAGAGACGACAGGTACCTTCAACTGTGGAGACGCGCTCCCGCAGCCGTTCTCCAACCTGGGGAGCAAGAGGGAGGGGCTGAGACGGGGCATCTGGTGCCCTCGGGGCCCCGAGGCCGGGCCGGGCTCTGGATCCCATTCTGTCCCTCAGAGGGCAGCTGTCTAGGAAACGCAGTGGGCAGGGGACTGGCAGGGGCTGCCACTGAGGTGCCAGCTGACGCTCGGGTGCCTGGTGGCGGACGTGAGGGCTGCGGGGCTCTCGGGACGGGCGGGAGCACGGGCTGAGAGCAGGGCCGCCAGAACGGAGGGCCCGGGCCTCAGGCACACAGCTGGGGGCCGGAAAGAACCACTGACTGCAGCAAGCCGTGCTGCCTGGATTCTCAGCCAGGCCCGGCCCAGAGCGCCCACTCCACCCCATGGCGCTCAGCACGTCAAGGGAAGGCAAAGGCCACCTGTGGTGTCGCCGCCTCTCGGGCCACTGCTCCCTCAACAGGTGGCTGAGCCGGGCGTCCCTGCTCACCAGGTCGGAGAGTTTCTGCAAGAGCCAAGATCCCCTGAGACGGCTGCGGCCGGGCCTCCCCGACAGCCCACCGGCCTCGCCTCCCTCGGTACCTGGAGGAAGCTGGTGGCCACAGGGTCCTTGTGGAGCATGGGACTGTACAGGGCCACCCACCGGCCGACCAGCCGCAGGATCTGCTGCCGCCGGTTGCAGATGTAGGAGCTGTGCTCCAGCTCGCCGCCCCCGGCAGCCTCCGCCGGCTCCGCGTGGAAGGTGAGTGCCAGTCAAGGGAACCACGACACGCTACGGGTCCCCGGCACGCCTGAGCCAAGGAAGGGCAGGGTGTGCCCCCCCAACAGGCTGGTCCCGGGCGAGGCTGGCACCCGAGGGGGATCCTCGCCTGAACCACACCCCCACTGCCCAGGGCTGGGAGGATATTGGTGCAGCAGGGCGGCGCAGAGCTGGGCGGTGGGCATGAAGACACTGTGGGTGAGGAGGAAGTCGCTGAGGAACGTCTCTGTGGGACAGGGCGGGGCGAGGACTTCAGGGCCAGGTCTGCTGAGCACAGCCTGGGCATCCCTTCCCCAGGGCCCTCCACAGACAAGGACCAGCAACGCCCAGCCCCTGTGAGGGAGCCCCCCGTGTGACTCCCACGTGTCAGGTAAGCGGACCTCCTGTGGAGTGCCGTGTGGACCAGCCCAGCGCCCGGGGAGGTCAGACGCCAGGTGCCTGGCCCTGCCCCAGGCTGCGCTGGCCGAGCTGAGTCAGACAGCAGGCCGGGAAGGCATCTTCTGCCCTACCTGTTGGGTCATGAGCGCTGGAATCCGGCCGCATGGCCTCCAGCAGCAACTCCAGGATCTTCTCCGGGGTGCCAGACATCACCGTGTACCTAGCAGGGAGCCCGTCAGGACGGTGGCCATTCCTCCCCACTCCCACGGCCCGGAGAGGCGTCGATCACCAGGGACATCACTCTTCCCGACGGGCCGGCCCTGTCCCGCCTTGGGGCGCGGAGGGAGGCGACTGCAGAGCACACTCTAGGCCCCGCAGGGCCAGAGGGCAGGAGTGGGACTCCGGCAAGGAAGTCGCGCAGTGTGGAGGGGGCAGGGCGGGCTCACCGGTTCCTGCCCGGCGTCGGCGGGCGCGAAGGGCCAGCGCCCTGAGACGTGCGCTCCAGCACCAGCACCACCTTGCCGTGCTCCTCCAGCCTCATGGTCTTCGCCTCCACGTCCTGGGGAGCAGCCGCGCCCGCGTTCACCCCAGCAGGCGTCTCTGCCCGCCTCCCGCTCCCTTCCCACCCACCTCCCCGGTCCTCGCCACAGACCTGGCCCAGGGCCCCTTCCCAAGCCGTCCTCCGGCCCTTGCCTGCGGAGACCCCACTCCGCACAGGACGGCCTCCCCTATGCCACGTCCCCCATACCCGCCGGGCTCCCACGCATGGAGATCTCTTGAGCCCTCCTGGCTATGGGCTTCGCCTGCTCCCACAAGCCTGCGTGCAGCCCCTGCCCCAGCCCTCACACCCAGCATCTCCCTGCAGCCTCCCTGCTCCCACGCTGTCCCCCTCACATCTCTCGGCCTCTGCTTTCTGCCTTTCCACCCCAGGGAGGCACCTTGATGATTCGGTTGAAGTCCTGTTTGTCCACACGCAGGAAGTGACAGTTATCTTCCCGCAGAATGATGGTGGCCGCCCGGGGTGCGTCGTTCACCAGGGCCAGCTGTCCAAAGTCATCTCCCTCGTGCAGCGTGGTCACCAGCCCCTGCAGCCAGGCCTCAGTCACAGCCCACCGCATGCCCAGCCCTCACTGGTCAGGCCCAGCCAGGAAGCGGGGGCACTGGAAGCCTTGGGACTGGCCAGGGTGCTGGGCGGCTGGAGGGTCTCACCTTGCCGTGGGTCACCACGTTGACAGATCCCTTCCAGATAATGTACCACGAGGTGCCCTTGTCGCCCTGGCTGAACACTGACAGAGGCACCGATCAGATCCCGCCCTTCCTGGCACCCTGCCCCGCCTAGGCCCCCGCACCCAGCCTGACTTACACACAGTCCCCGCCTTGCTGTGGGATTCGAAGAGCAGCACAGCTGCTAACTCCCGCTTCACCTGTGGGCAGGGGAGGAGGGTGGGTGTGGAGGTGAGGAGGGGTCAGGTGCAAAGACCCACGCGCTGCGGGCAGGGTATGGCCAGGTGAGGTGTTCCTGGGCAGCAGGAGAGGCAAGGCGAGAGATGGCTAGGGCAGCGGGAAGATACTCAGGGCATGAAATTAGACTGAGAATGTCCAGCCACGGCTGGTGGGGAGGGACCCAGCCCTGGTCAGCAGCGGGAGGCTGCCGGAGTCACGGCCCGGACAAGTCAGGTCTGGACAGGCGAGGGCAGGGCACTCACTGAGTTGGACAGGTGGGCCACAGCCTTGATGTGCAGCAGCTCCTCGAAGATGAGGTCCAGCTCCTCATCCAGGCGCTGCCCCGGGCTGCGGGCGCAGAAGTAACAGGAGCACATGAGGGACCGGCCCAGGCCCAGGGCGGGAGCTGTCCCACCCACCTGGCTCGGCCCTGGGCCAGATGGCGCCGGCTCCTCGATCCTCATCAGTCCTGGGGTAGCCTTTGCGGAGTGGGCCCCAGGTGCCAAGTCCTGTGCTAAGCACCTTACATGCATTATTTCATTCCGTCCCCGACAGCCCAGTGACACAAATTCTATTATTCTCGCTTGACAGAAGAAGCTGGTACGGAGAGGCCCAAGGTCACCCAGCGAGTAGCCAGTGGAGCTGGACTTGGAACCGTGAGCTGCCCGCAAACCCCAAAGCCTCCCCTCTTTCGGCCGGGACGGCATGCAGAGGGGAAGGATCCTCCGAGGCCCCCTGCCCACACGCTCACTGATGCAGGAAACAGGCTGGGCACGGGAGGGGCGGGAGGACACACAGCGAGTTCGTGACAGAAGGCAGGCCCAGGCCCAGGTCTCAGCGACAAGCCTGAGTCCATGGAGTCTAAATGCCTCATGGGACCTGGGGGTGGGGGATGCGGGGCTCCGAACTCACGGCTTTCGCAGGGCCACAGTGAGCAGGGCGTCTGGTCCCCGCTGGGACAGCAGGGCCATTGCCTCGACCAACTCCTCCTCTAGCTCATGGGTTCCCGCAGGCTCAGGCTCCGGCCCCAAGAACCGATAGAACTGGGCATCTCGGTCCTGGAAGGTCCAGTCGTGTCTCACTGAGGGATCGAGGCCCAGGCGTGCAGGGAGAGGACATTGAGCCACGGAGGTACGAGGTGCACAGTGCAGTGCCACGCCCCTCCGCAGCCCCCCTTGAGGCCCACGGCCCAGCTCCCGCCCCCGCCCCGGGCTCAGGCTCACCATGGCAGAGGGCACCTTCATCCAGCAGCACCTGGCAGATGCCCACTGCCTGGCTGCGGGAATGGACCCCAAGCCCCAGGGCCAAGATCCCGTCCACCAGCTCCCGTCCAGAGCAGCACTGCCTGCGGGAAGGCAGGGGCTGTGAATCAGAAAGGCCCCTGGAGACCCCGCTGCCCCTCCCCCTGCGGCAGGGCTAGGCCGCGCCTGGACGAGTGGGGAAGGAAAGAGACGGCAGGGCGGCTGGGCCAGGCGACAGAGGCAGGGCCCACTCACCGATGGAGCCTGAGGTGGTGCTTTCGATCGCGGATGAGGGTCGGACAGGCGGCCAGGAGGTGTCGGTGCAGGTGCCTCCCAGCCCTGAGCACCCGCTCCGCGGAGGCCTTGGCAGGAGGACAGGCACAGCTGGCTGAAACCCTGCAGCCGCCCCTGCTGCCCCCCAGCCTCGCCCGCCTCCGCCTGTACCTGCTCGAGGCTCTCGCTGAAATCCAGGGACTCCTCACCGTTGGTGAGCGGCGTCTGAGGACAGCAGAGTGCGCAGGTCGGCATGGGGCCGCAAACTCGGCTGTGGGGCCCTTCCCTGCCCGCCTCGTTAGCACGCCTGCCCAGTCCCCAGCCCCAAGTGCGTCTGTTAGTCACTTAAGCCACAAATCAACATTCTGGGCAGACCCCCAATGCCAGGCGTCCCTCTTCCCACCCTACCTCCCCAGCACCAAACCTGCCTTCTGCACCCGAGCACCGTAACCCTATGGAGAGCCCAAGATCCCCACTCCGCTTGCTCAGGGCCCAGGGTGCCCAGGCTCCCAGGAAAATTGCCCTGTGTGGGGACAGGGACAGGCAGCCGGAAGGAACGTGGGGGTGGGAGGGAAGGCCTGCGAGCAGCCAGGCCGGGAGCAGCTCAGGGGCTGAGGACGTGGGCTCCTGGGCTGGGCGGCAGGCCTGACGCCCAGCCCAGGTTCTCCGTCCAGCACAGGACCTCGGACAGGCCCGGCGCCCTCCGGGAGCCTGGTTCGGCCTGGCTGCTGAAAACATGAATCCGAAGCTCTGCTCCCGACTCCAGGGCCTGTCCCTTCATTCACCAGTGTGTGACCTTGAACGGGTGATTTACTCTCCCTGCCTCAGGTTCCTCACGTATAAAACCTACCAAACACTAACAACAACCAACCCAGGCGCCTCAGGGCGGTCTGCAGGAGGTGAGGCACGGCGCACGTTCAGACCGTGGCCTGGCCTGGAGCTGCAGGTACAAGGCAGCTGCTATTACTTAGTAGTCAGGGCAGAGGGGCAGCTTGCTGGAGGGCTGCGTTCTCCTGAGAGACGCTCTGAGCCTTCAAGCACAAGCGAGACCTTGGCGATGGAGTGGAGTGGCTCAGGCCTTATCTCGGACTCACTAGATAATAAGGTTCCCCTGCCCCGGGTGTCAGTGGAGGCTTCGGCCTCCAGGGTGCGGGGACGTCTCCAGGGGAGACCCTGACAGCCCTCGTTTCTGGCTACCTGAGAGCCCGACTTAGTGGACAGACTGGATGGATGCCCTGCCCTCTCCCAGCCCGCCCAAAGGCAGAGCACCGCACAGACTGCAAGGCGCGTCCTCCTCCTCAGCGTTACGGATCCAGAGTCAGCACCGGGTATGCTCTGGGACTCGCAGGGAACAAAAAGCTGAAGGTGAAGCGCCTCGCGGAAGTCAGCCGCGCTCGGGACTGGCAGCGGCTGTGGAGAAGCTCGGGTTCTCCCACCAGCGCTCGCGTGCTCGGCCCCGCTCTGCCCACCACACCTGCCTGTGTCCCGTTCCGCCACTTCTTCCACACCAGCGCCTCCCCTGCTCTCCCACCTGCGCTCACAGCCCCGGGAAGGGCCTGGCCGGAAGCTGGAGCCTGCGTCCGCTCCCCTGGGGCCGGCAGGTCCCTAGGCACGGGCACTCTGCCGCCGAGCCCAGGCCGAGGTCTGCATCTGGTGTGCACGGGCGCCTGGCCCAGGGCTGGACGGAAGTCACTAGGTGTCCCAAGGGTATCCCTGGCTGGTCACGGGGCCCAGCCCGGTGCCAGACCCAGAGCCCTGAGACTTAATGGCAGGAAGCGAGGAGGAGGAGGAGCCAGGAAGAGAGGAAGGGCAGGAATGCTGCCCGGCCAGCCCCCTGTGTTGGAACAAACAGTGCCCGAGTGCTAACGACTTGTTATTCATAGCGAAGTACCCAGGCCGCCCCAGTCCCTGCCCCGGCTCCCTTTGGTGCCCACACACCAGGCTCCCGCACCAGCTCCCTTCCTGGCATTATTCTGACCTGGGAGGGTACAGGCACATCAGGAGGGGGTGGCAGAGCGCAGGGCCAAGCTGGCCCTTTGCTGTCCTACCCCAGAGGATGAGCACAGCGGCAGAGAACGCCCGTCTCCCACCCAGCACGGGTGAAAGGTGAGGACAGAACCCACGGGCCTCTCTCTCACCTCCCCAGGAAAGCAGACGCCCGGGGACTGAAGCCACTTGCAGTCACACAACTACTTAGAAACCGGAGACTCTGCTGAGTGACTCCGCTGCTGGTGCCGGCTGGAAGTCGGTGTCTGCATCGCGCGGCTCACAGACAGAGGGCAGAGGCCCGGGGGTTACGTAACCTGCCCTACAGCCGCAAACAGGACTCAGGCACTGTGCTCCGTCGCCGCGGTGCCTGCCCTGTGCCTGCCCTCTGCGTGTCGTGGACGCCAGACAGCAGCAGCATTCTGCCCTCGGGAACGTCCCGCGGCAGGACTCGGGCTTGCTGTCAGAGCCCCTCTTCCCCTGCAACTTTCAGTGCATGGGAATCTCTGGGATGGAGCGGAACTGCCGTGTGAGTCAGGGGTCAAATGTTAGATTCGGAGCTAGAGACCTAGGTTCAAATGCTGCTTCTCAATTTGCCACCTGGCCCCATGGCCTTGTGTTGATTATCTGACCTCTCAGCACCTCTGTCTCCTCATCTGTAAAACAGCGTTGATGTGATAACAGTACCCATCCCGAGGACTGCCGTGAGGACCGCATGAGTTCATATTATAAAGCACACAGTGGTGCTCACAATAACTGCTCAGTAAAGGCTACATACAGTGACCCCAGCCGCCTTCCTTTTTTCAAGATGGGCGCCCTTTACCCGGATACGGTACAAAAAACACTGGCCCAGGCCCTGGTCCAACGACCCTGAGTGTTGGCTCGGAGGCTCTCAGGTGGAGGGAAGACACGTGTGGGTCAAGGCAAAGGCCCTCACCTCCTCCTCTCAGTCCTGACCGGAAGGGCCTGGAGTGGAAGAGGAGGGCCTTGGTCCCACGGCACCAGCGGGCAGACTGCCCCCCTCCCCCCATCACCGAGTGTCAGAGTGGGGCTCCAGGCACAGCGCCAGGCCCAAAGGCCTGTGCCCCCACTCCCCTGATGTGCCTGAGGGCCCAAGCGGGCCGTGTGACGGGCAGGGAAGGACGGCAGGGGCCACCTCGGTCAGTGCCGCACCCTGCAGCCACATGCCTGGCAGCAGAGCCCAGCTACGCGGTGGGGACGACGGCATCAGGGCGGATCCCACAGCTACTGGGAGCACTGGCCGAGGTGACGGGGAACCATACACTGCTGTCATTATTTGCCCGGGTTACATGAAAGGGTGTTTTCTGTTTTAGAGAACAGGGCCACCTCCCCCCAAAATAGTCACTGGACGGGAAGCAGCCCAGGCTGCCCCGAGTCTGTGGGGCCCACCACAGGTCACCATGACCTTGCCCCTAGACCAGACAACGTCTCATCTCCCCTGCTCTTTTCCCAAGACGTCCTTCATCCCATTCCAGGGCTGCCCTGATCACTGGGAAGTCCTTTCTGCATCTAACCTCGAGCCCTCCTGCTGTACCGCTTTCACTTTCTCTCGGCCCGCCCCGGTAGGGGCAGAAGGCGCCCCCTCAGACTCCGCCCTGGGAGGTTGGTGGGTTTTCCCTTGGGCCTTTTAGAAGGAAAGTGTGGCCCAGATGACCCCTGCCCCGTCCCCTCAGCCCCGGGCTCCCCTCCTTCACCCTGGGTGTGCACCTGCCCTCTGGGCCTGCTCCCTGAGGGCCTTGCCTGGGTAAAGCCTTCATGAGGAGTGGAGGTGCAGCTGCTGGGCACCAGAACCCCTAAATTACAGGCACGATGGACTGAAACCGCCTAGCCCGGGCCTCCAGGGCCAGCAGCAAGAAAGGAGGGGCGGCCCGTTTCTCGCCCTAGAAGTCCAAGCTCCCTCTCTCACCAACCTCTCCCCACCCTGTACACATGCTCGGCCAGCCAGTGGAGGGGAAATGGCCTGCACCTTTGACCCCCTTTACACTTCAGCAGCCTTCTCACCCTCCCGGCTCCCCCACGCAGGGCACAAGCCAGCCCGGCCACGCTGGGGGCTCGGGGTGTCAGAAGCCTGGCAGCCTCCTCCACCCTTCCAGGCCATGGGTCCCAGGAGACCTTCCAGTGAGCTCACTGCCCCTACCTGACCTTCTGCCTCCCAGCCCCTACCTCGCCCTACAGCTGGGAAGGGGACAGGAAATGCACAAGTAATTATAGCCTGCAAGGGAAGGAGGCAGGGAGGGTTCCAGCCCACTGGCTCCAGCAGTAACTACGGCAGTGACCCGGCCTGGGGTGGGGGAGAGTGAGGCTGGGGAAGAGCTGGCACAGACACCTGGATGCCCCTCCTCAGCTCCACTTGCAAAGAGGGACCCCCTCGCTTCTGCCGCGCCTGGGTGTTCTCAACTCCTATCCCAGTAAACAAAACTAGCAGCTGGACAAGGAGAGCGAAGTTGCCCCGGTTCAGGACACTTGCTGGTAAAAGCTGAGCTGCCCAAGTCTGTCACCCTCTCCTGCCTTGCCCACCCCTTCACCCAGTGCCCCCAGACCCACCCCCACGCCAGGTGGGCACACAGTAGGCACTGAACCCCAGGACAGGGTGCTCCCGGGAGCCGGGTGGCCGGACCTGACCGCCCTCGATCTTCCCGCTCCCCTCACCCCTTCATTCCTTCAGCTCCAGGGACAGACCCCCCAGCCAGGGAGCTCCGGTCACCCTGGAGTCTCCAAACCTCTCAGAACCCGCCCGGAGCCCCCGAAAGCCACATGCAAGCAGTGTCCACAGGAACCCTCACTCCAAGATCAAAAGGCAGAATCTGCCGCTCCACTGTGCAGGCAAGGAGGGCGTTGCCATGGTGACATGTCCAGCACAGTAAGCGCTGGATTCGACTTAGCCCCCACGTCTTCTACCCCGCCCAGAAAGAACACACAGCACCTAACTGCCTGGCACAGAGGTGAGAGACACGTGACAAAGCCCGTTCTTCTCCTCCCCAGGCCCAAGAGGGGGTACCTGGGCACCAAGCACCCACAGACGCACAGGTCACAGCAGTGCGAGCCACCCACACACGGCAGCCAGGCCTCCCCGTCCCCCGCGGACCCGCGTGTACCGCACCGCGCCCCCAGAGCAAGCTCCTCTACAGCAGCTGGCCCGCCCCAGCGCGGGCGCGGCAGGCCACAGGTGCAGGCGCTCACCCATCGCAGTCCCTGGATGCGGCTGGGCCGCGGGTGCTGCAGCAGCAGCTGGTAGGAGCAGCTGCGGGGCCGGTGCACCCTCCTCAGCACCATGTCGAGCAGGGTCCCCTCCGGCAGCACGTCGGGAAGGCCGCCGACCGCAGGAACTCCCAGAACCAGGCTCTCTTCCACAGCCGGGCCCAGCTGCCAGCGGCTCTCACCTGGCCAGCCCACCTGTGGCGCGGGGAGGAGGGTGGGCAGCCATGCGCTGGGGCCCGGCCAGGCACAGCCGCCCCAGGCAGAAGCGCTTCCGTGCAGTCCTCGGGACGGGTCAGGCGGAGGTGCCGCAGCCCTGCCAGGAGCCGGGGGAGGGACAGGAAGGCCGTCCCCGGCCTGCCGGTCTGGCGCGGAGGGTCTCTGCTGGCTCCCGGGAGCTCCGGAATTCTGCCCCCCCCCGCCCCTACCCTGCAGGGACCTGCCCCTCCCGGCCTGGGGCAGCGGACTGCGCGATCCGCGGACGCCGCTCGGCCCCAGCGCTCCCGCCGACCGAGCCTCTCCGCCCCGGCGCCCCAGCGGGCGGCTTCCTCCCCGCCTCCCCAGCTCCCCGCGAGCCGACCGCGCGTCCGCACCTTCATGCTCCTGCTGCGCTTCGCACCTCCGTGCGGCCTGTGGGGGGACTGAGGGACGCCCGCCGGCCCC